GAAACTATGAATTTCTTTTGTTCATCTAGATCAAAGAAAATTTCCATGCGACGATGACGCCGAATCTCTCACATAAAGTTGCCACTTCATATATCAATCAAGTCACTCCATACTACTTGGTGCTCTTGCCAAATGATACAGACGTATTGAAAAATCTAATTTGGACACAAATCATCATCTCTCACATTAATTTACTGAACCCCCAACTCCAAGTAACATAACTTATCCTTCAACAATATGGGAAAATATTTCTAGCAAAAGAAAAAGAGAAAAAGAAAAACAGGATTCACCAAGAGGACGTTGCTACTAATGGTGCAGATGTTGGTGGCTAGAGTACTGTTTCGACCATGGTTTCATTGTAGAAAGGATCGGTTTCAAAACGAAGATAGCAACTAGGCCTAAGGATCCTAACTCCTCTTGCCGCACGACAACAGTGTTGAATCTCTAAGGCAGACCGTGATAAGCAATCGCCACAATCCTGTGGGGTAATATCAGGTGTGCACTGCAGAAAAGCATAAATTGTCCGATAATCCGGGTTAGCTCGACTGGCAGCAGCAAATTTCTTGGGTGATCTATTATAAGCGGCCTGATTATGAAGACTATCCAATAATATGTACAACTCGTGGTAAAACTTGTGTTCATCGGGAACATTTTCCTTGCTATAACCCCAGTCGAATGGAGAGTACGCAACTTTTCCAAAGATAGCCACATCGGAGTATTGTACCATGCAAAATTCGTGCCATATAATTGCTTGTTTTTTATAAGGGCACTTCTTTAAGATTTCAGCCGTAGCATTTTTGACATAATCACGACATTGGTAAGGCTGAAGATCTGCTCTACATAGTGCAATCAAGTTGACTCTATCAGAATTTTCTCCCTTGAAGGCCTTGTAGAATCCATTGGCGTCAATATTTGGCGAGACAGAGGAAAGGAGGGCATCAAGATTTTTCTTGTATGTTCCATTACTCGTGTAACTACCATTATTTTGACATTTAAAATGAATAAAAATTGGAGTTGGGAACTGGGATTTGACAATAGCAACATGGTTTATGAGACAGATTTGGAAAATGAAATTAGGAAGCCATTTCCAAGAACTCATACTAGATGTTTCTAATTTAATGGTGTGTGTGTGTATTGGGCATATATTGGTTTAAGCCGAAAGAGTCTAAAGCTTCAGTCTTTTATCGAATTCAGAATAAAAATATCACAGTATCAACATTTATGTATATTTGCATATATATACAAGACTATGGATATAGCCAACGGCGGACCCAGGATTACGAGACAGAAAATGGGCTAAAATAGATTGTGAAGGTATTTGAAAATTCAGGGGCTCTTAATGGGTCCGCCCCT